CCTCAGTTTCAAGTGTAAGCTCACTCCACTTCAGAGCAGCCTCTAAAGGGCACATGGTGATCACTAATGTCCTTGCTTAGGTAGAAAGATAGGTGTTATCTGCCTAAAGCCCCAATGAGTACAAGCTCTGATGCTACCCTACCCAGTGCTCACCTCACTCTCTTAAGAGGGGCATGACCTCCTGGCTCCACTCCCTCCTCCAATCACACAGATTCTGCCGTAGGTCCTTCAGCTCTACCCCTCCAACCAGCCTCCTCGCCTCTCCTCACCATCACTCCTTTTCCAGTGGGTTCATGCCTAGGCCCCGGCCCCACTTCACTCTCTCCTCTTTGTTTATTTTCTCCAGTGGTCTGTACTTTTTGACCCAAAAAGATAAGAGGACCTCCCTCTGAGTCATCATCATGTTTGGGAGGAGTTTTTTGGTGGAACTTGGACCTCTGAGACAGCAAGAAGTAAGCTCATTCCCAAGAAGCATCATGGTTTAGTGGGACTTGTAGCTGACAAGCATGGATTCGAGTTTCAGCTTGGTACTCAGCCTCTGTGCCCTGGCAGCTCTTCATGTTTAGAGAAGAGGTCAGTCTGGAGACAGGTCTCAGTCTATCCCTTCTCCCCCAGCCCTCTGCCTGGCTTACTGCCAGGAGGTTTGCCTTGCTGCCTTGGGCCAAATTTGTAAGACACCAGTATGCACAGCTACTCTGCTTTTCCTGGTGTTTATCCACCTTAAGTTTCCCTTTCACTTTTTTATTTGTTTGTAATACAAATAAGCTCTTCGTATTGACTTTGGGAAAACTTGTCTAAGGTGAGGGAGAGAAGGATGAGACTTGTCTTAGTTGGTATCTCCCATGGATGGGCCAGGTTATCAGCTTCCAAATTTGACAAGCTTGGGACACTGGCCAGCATCATTAACTCCATGGCTTCAGGCAAATTCCCTCACTTCTCAGAGCCACCACTGTCCATGGGAAAGAGAAGTGCCTTTGGACAGCCCCTGAAGACCAGCTGGGACCAAGGCATGTAGTTACACAGACAGGTTCATTCTGACCCAGCAGAAAGGCCAACCAAAGTACTTTTTTTTTTTTTTCCATTGAAATTGACGTCATTGTCTCTCTACTTCCTTGTCCTTTTTTTTTTTTTTTTTTAATCACTTTTACATTTACTCACCTGTGTATGCATTGTTTGGGCCATTTGCCCCCGCCACGCCCCGCTTTAAAGTACTTTAAATAACTAACATTTCACAACACCAAGTGCCTTTTGTTTATGTAATTCATGTTTCCTTCTAGCAACTTTGTGAATAGTAATTCATATTTTGTTGGTATTAGTATCCCACTTTATAGATAAGGATGCAGGCAGATTGCTGAGGAGCACACAAATGTTGAGGAGAGCTCTGGCCAGGTCATCTCACTCCTACCACTAGGCCCCTCCTAGGAACAAGGCAGTTAAAATGTGATCCTCAGACAAGTTCACACCATTACAAATGACTTCAGATGTCAACACATAGCTGTATGCAGAACCAGAGCAAAGACTAGGTCAGCAGCCCTGTCTCTCCATCTGGGTCCCAAGACCTCTAGTCAGCACAAAGTACCTGGTGCTGGCAGGGAATAGTTAGAACTGTCCACTGATTGACCTTCTCTCTGAATAAGTGTGAATGTGAAAGATTCCTTCTTTCTTAGTTTTTGTGTTGCTCTAACAGAACACTTGAAACTAGGTAATTTATAACGAACAGAAATTTACTGGCTCTTTGTTCAGTAGTCTGGGAGTTCCAAAATCAGGGGTCTAGCATCTGGTGAGGAACTTTTGCAGAAGGGCAACAGAGTTATCAAGAGGGGGCTGAACTCACCCTTTTATGATGGCACCAGTTCTACCCATGAGAGCGGAGTCCTCATGGCCTTAACATCTCTTAACAGTCCCACTTCTTAATTCTGTTACAATGACAGTTGAATTTCAACAGAGTTTTCAATAGACATTCAAACCATAGCACCTTCTTAGTCTATATTTTCATCAAGGCCAGTTCAACCCAGCTCCTTCACTTGGGATCTTCCTCCAGGGTTAGTGATCATGAATTTCCTCAATGCTTCTAATTCAATCAGTAAAATTTACCAGTGTCCTATGTGAGTGAGACCCTGAACTGAGAGACGTGCTCTCTACCCTGAGAAGGTCAGGGTCTGGCCTGGAAGAAAAGACAGCTCCCAGATAACTGATGTGAGTGAAGAAGCTGGGAGTTTCATGAGAGAGGCACATGGGTGTGTGAAAATGAGGAGAAGGGACTTGGCAGGCCTCATCGCAGAGGTGACTATGAGGTGGGCCTGGAAGCCTTGGCAGGAGAAGAAGGTGTCCCGGGTGGATTGTGTAGTCCCCAGAACACAAGGATGTGGGAAGCACCTTGGAGTCTGGCTAAGTGGGCAGGTACGAGAGTTCAACTGTGGCAGTATGGCCAGGAGAGAAGGGCTGCAGTGGGGCTGAAGCCAAGTCTAAAGATCCTTGTATCTTATTTAAGTGTACTTGAACCTGACTGCAAGGATTGGGTCTGTTTTCCAGAGGTCTTATGGACTGTAGTGTCCATGTAGAGGGCGAGAAGGAGAAAGATCAGAGACAAAGTCTTATTAGTAGACTGGCATGGGTCCAGGAAAGAGACACTGAGGTATCCAGTGTGGATGGAGAGATGCTTCTGTGGGTAGCAGACACAGTACCAATAAGACTGCTAAGCTATGGAAGATGGAGCAGGAGGATAAGGGCTTCCTCCCCTCTCCCTTTCCCTCTCCCTCTCCATGGATCCTGCATGGTCCTATCTCAGCTCAGGTGAGAGTGGGAGTCATCCTCCACTTTGGCCTCTAATCACATCCCACAGGGAAGTCATCTGCACCAGCTCAGCACCAAAACAGTTGGGCATCTGATTACTAGCTACCTGAGAGCTTTCCTGTGTACAGCTGCTTCTGCCTAAGGAGCAGCACCTTCGATGAAGAGGCATCTAGAAGTGGGCTGTTCTCCAGGATTCCCAAGGAACCAGTGACCATTCTTCAGGAATGAGCCTCCTCCCTGACCTTTGTCTGAGACTCTGCCATGGGGCAGCTGGACCAATGGGTGAACAGGGCCAGGAGTCAGGAGACAGTCGGAAGGTGGAGAGCCATATCCAAGCAAGTGCTATCTTTTCCTGCTATTCAGCTAAATTTGAAGTATACTTTAAGTGTAGTACTGGGTCTGGGAGGAGATGGGACTCCTGTTGGCCTTCCCCCACCCATGAGGAGCAGGTTGGCTGAAAGTGTTAGGAAGAAGTTCAGGCCAGCCAGCAGAATGAAGAAGCTAAAGCACATGACCACAGACAACTACTGTGTGGGCCACTGGTTGCCATCTGGTGTCCTGAAAGGGGACAGAAATAGTCATAATGACCAGACCAGGCCAGCAGACCCAGAGATCTTGCAGCAGCCAGGGGAGCCCTGGCACGCAAGGACTCAGCCCTAGGACAGGGTCCAAGTCTCAGACCAGGGTCTACACAGGTCTCCAGGACAGGGACTCAGCCCCCATGAAAAGGACAAAGTGCAGACTCAGAAGTGGACTCAGTTGTCTGAGCTAGAGCCCAAGGCCTGGGGCTGAGGTTGGGCAGGAGGCAGGAATTCCTTTTCACTGTGAGGACCATCCAAGGGCATCTGGAAGTTCTTCTGGTGGCATGTGAGTCTACCTCCTTCATTCTTCAAGGCAGTCTCAATCTGACACCACAGGAAAGACTGAATTTAAGAAAGGGACATTTTGCAGGTACTTTGTGTCTTGCTCTGCCACTTGTATATAAGACCTTGTACAAGTCACCTACCTTTCTGGGACTAGTTTCTCAGCTGTTCCAAGTCCTCATGGGTGCTTTCCTAACAGTTTTGAGAGTTAGAACAGTTGTGAGAAATTGCAATGTAGATTAAATGGAGAAAAGTGCCTGGACATTGCTCTAGTAGGGTTCACATATTTTTTCTGTTTCCTGAGAATAAGAAGAGAAGGACCGCTAAGACCCTGGGCCTCTGGGAAGATGGAGGCAAGAAATTTCCCCCATGTTGTTGTTGGGATTGTAGCCTGCATGTTGCTCTTAGCTCATGCAAGGGTGGAAACAAAGCCACTTGCCCAGAGTTCCTCTCCCAGTCACTGTGACTCTGTGGTTCCTAAGAGACACCTGAGCTGGCAAAGATAAGGAACAACCAGCTCCTTCTCAGGTTGGGGCTGAAGCCTAGATTTCATTTTAAATGTGTCACAGGGTGCCCTGACACAGGCTCCCAAAACCAACCCTCCTGTGAACACAGTTTGACAGCGGGTCCTGAGCAAGTGTGATCTGGTAGGCTGTCTGGTAACCCAGAACAAAGGGAGGGATGGCAGGACCCTGCTCCTTCCCACCCTCAGCTCCAGACTCTTAATGTGAGTAGTAGGGGGCAGCAAAGCATGAGACTGAAGCATTCCCCCACCCACCCATTCAGACCTGAATTCTCCTAACTCTGGCTCTGACTCTTGCCAGCTGTAGGTGTCAGTCTTGTGCTCAAAAAGTGGAAAAAAAGCAGACCTATCTGATTTGACTATTCTATGTCCACTGGTGATTTTAGGACAGTTAAGGCGTTGTGGGGACAGTGGCAAATGAAGAGGGAGAAACAGCAAGTGTCGTTTGAAGGGAAAGAGATGGTAGAGCACCTGCCTATCTATCAAGCATGAGGTTCGAACCCTGAGTTCAAACCCCAGTACCACCACCAAAAAAAAACAAAAAAAAGTGTGAAGGGAAGGAGCAGAGTATCAACAGCTAAAAGTTTGGATCTTGTTCATGACTCAGAGGGAGGAGCCCAAGAAGGAGCAAGAGAAGGGCTGATCAAGAGGCCAAGGTGGGGCCAGTTGTTGCACAGGTATGAGAGCCCACTGTTAAAGGAAAATTAGGGGTATCTCTTCTGTGGCTAGGAGGGGATGATAGTGAGGTGCAGTTCTGGTTATTTGCCAGGGTCTTTCTTCCCTCTGCTGACTGCTCCTCTCTGTGTTTCTCTGCCCCACAGGCCCCTCCACTCAGCGTCAGGTGCAGAATGGCCCCTCTCCTGAGGAGATGGACATCCAGAGAAGGTAACCCTGCCTCCCGCAGCAGTCACCCTGACAACTTCCCCAGTAGTTTCAGGTGCATCCTTCAGTGAGTCAGGACACTGTACAGCTCAGGCCAGCACTTTGTGGCACATTCTATGGACAGAGGCAACAAGCCAGACCAGAAAGGATGAGAGAGCTGATACAGGCAGCACCTCCTGAAAGTGGAGACCTTAGGATCCATGGGGATCCTAAGTATTTTACAGAGTACCTGGACCTTAGTTATGCAGTCCTTGTGATGCAGCTGAAGGTGAGCCATCATACTGATCAGCCATTTAATTTAACCTTTCCAAGTGCCTTAAGAGGTAGCTATGATGAGAAGGAAGTAGCCTGTGAGGGAGGCAGTTATGGGCTGTGGCTCAAGGGCTGTAGGATGGGAGTGATTCTACTCGTGACAGCAAGGATCACACAAGAAGTTTGCTGGCTCCTATGGAGCATCCTCTCCAACATCTTATTGCCAGGAAATACACCCAAACCCAGGTCTGCCATCTCTGTGCCTAGTGGTCTGCTTCTGACAGGCCACAGCTCAGGTCTGTGCAAACTTGTTGAGGGAGGCAAGGCCCAGCCCAGGCCTCTGGGACATGGCATACAGCTCTAGATATGTGAGCAGGTGCCAGTAGCTCCCTGGACAGGAGTCAGGAAGCTGGCACCTTCCCCCCACTAGTTGGCATGAGACTCCCCCCAAGATTTCCTCTTCCCGGGCCTCTCCCAGATGCCCTAGGGTGAACGATCCCTGAGTCTTCTGTCTTTGACATGGTATGTCATGACCCTAGACAAGCTATTGCTCTTGCCCTCAGTTTCCTCATTTCAAAATGATGCCACCCTTACTCTGCCTATCTTGAGCGTATAAGATACTATGGACGTACACTTCCTAGTGTGCTTGCTTGCTTCCTACTCAATTCACAGGTATTTATTGATCTGCAGACCTGACTTCTAGCCTCTCAGGACTATAGCCCTATGCAATTTAGGAAGGTGTTTGCTCACTGGGTCTCATTTTAATCCTTATCCTAACTCTTAGGGGTTGTTACTAGTATTACCTTTTCCCAGATGAACTAACTGAAGCTCAGAATAGAAATGGTCCACCACCAGTCAGCAGGGGGCTGGAGCAGAACAGGGCCAGCAGTCAAATCTGAATCAAGCTGCAGCTCCCTGCCAGGTCCCAGGATGCCTCCACCTAGAGGAGGGCAAGAAGGAGTGAGCCCCCAGCCAAGGGAAGCAAAAATACAGAGGAGATGGCTGCTACATTAGGTCATTCAGTTAAACATCCACAACACTGCCTTATCTTAACCCAAGGCCCAAGCCAAATTAAAGAGGAGATGGGCTGCAGAGAGCATGTCCTCAGACCAGAGCACCCCTTGGTGGTCATGCCGTGAGCCGTAGGAATCCACCACCAGAGGCAGCAACAAATCTCACTACCAGTCATTTCAGACTTTCAGATGGAAGAGACCCAGGAGAGAGAGTGACTTACCTGGGGCCACATAGTGAGTCAGCAACTCCAAGCACAGATAACCTTCTGTTTTCATGCAAACATTATCATAACTTCAGACCTAATTTATTGTTTTTTCAGTTCTAGGATGGAAACCAAGGCCTTGTGCATGCTAGGCAAGCACTCTACCACTGCACTGCATTCCCAGTCCAAGCCCTCTTGGTTCATGAGCTCTCTTCCTGGAGAGAGTCACATACTTATCCTCCACACAGCACTCACTGAACACTTGTCACATGCCACAGACACATGAGCTTGCTTTAGACCAAGGCTGCAGGTCCATAGCCGATAGACCCACACTGCCCCGACCCTTCCCCACCATGGCAGATACAACTTGCTTCCATCACCTCCCCCACTGAGCCAGAACTGGCCTCAGAGCACACAACTCTGTTCTTCAGTAGCACATATTTGGAGTTTGCTCCACCCTAGTTGCAACCTTGCTGCCACCCTAGATGATTCCATAAGGCCCCTCCTTTGTCACCATCTCAGTCACTGGATTCAGTGGGTGTGTTTGTGGGTCACTGTCCTACTCAACCGGCCTTTGGTGAGTACCCTGAGGTGCTCTGCAATAAGAAACTAGGATATTAGCTCCCACTGCTCTGCAGGATCAATTCCCCTCCAAAGGGGCCTCGCCTATGACGGCTCTGTTGTAGAGAGGATGAGGCACATGGCCTTTGTGTTCATTTCTCCTGAAAACCAACAGTACCTAAAACTTGTCCCAGGGAGCTCAGCCAGGTGCACTAAGAACAGGCATTCTCAAGACTGGATCTTTTGAGGCCACAGGCCCCTAAAGCCAGATGAGCAACCAACAGGGAAAAGCTTGATCAGTGTCAGTGAGTGAAATCGAGCCAGCCAGAGGGTCACCAGATTTCGGTGCAGTCCTCCCTGCTCAATGTGCCAGAGCTCAGGAGACTGCTGACCCTCCCCTACTTTCGTAATTGAACCCAACGTGCCCCTCAACGTTACGTGGAGGCAGCCAGTGCAGTGGCTCCCAGGGAGTATGAAGAAACTGACTATGAAGCCTGGGCTTTCGGGCCCAGAGTGCATTGTTCTGGGTGCAGAGAGGTCAGGCCGCCTGCTGTGGTTGCTTTTCAGACAAGTGATGGAGCAACAGCAGCAGCACCGCCAAGAGTCTCTGGAGAGAAGAACCTCAGCCACAGGTGAGAGCCCTCCGAGGCTGCCTCCCATGCTCAGGCCAGGTGCAGCCCCTCTACTCAGATGAGATCCAGTGCTACAGCAGACCCTCTAAGGAGCTGCTAATCACATAAGTCTAGAGTGTGACCATCACTTAGGACAGAGAAGGGAACAAGAAAACTGGAACAGAGGTTTAGAGGGCTCACTCAATTTAGTCTTGTTCCTACCCACAAGCCTTCTAGACTTTCCATCACTCCTTTCCCAAGTGGACACACAGGGAGCACCTCCTGTCTATCAGGCACCATCCTGAGGGCTGGGAACACACCATGGACAAAGTCAGACAGCCCTGCTCCCTGGAAGTCCACTCTCCAACCAAGGAGACACATGAACCAATGCTTACCCTAACATGAAATGCACACTGTGGCAAAGCTAAGTGCAGGGTGCTCAGTCAGGACTGCCCAGAGCAGCTGCTTCCAAGATTCAGCCCTGAGTGCACTCCAAAGGAAGGGCATGTACCATTCATTGATAGGTATAGGACTTTCTCAATGCCAAGTGCTTTCAAATCCTGATCCTGTTTAGTTTGTCCAAATGCCTTCTGAAGTAAGCAGGTGAACATTTTCCTGTTTTGCTGATGAGAAAACTGAGCCCTACTAGTCTCTGAGTGCTGCACAGAGACTGATGACACCCTCTCACTTGTTGCTACACCTCTTTGCCACTACCCATGCCCACCACCCATTCTGATGAGGTCTAGTTCTGTCATCATGTTAGCCCTTCCTATCACTTATGCTACATAGCTCTAGTGAAGCCTCAGTATACCCTGCACCTCCCTCCCATTCCCACTGTAGCACACTGGCCTCTCTTTTCTGATTCAGCATCCTTGACTCCTTCCTCACCCTTGCTTCCCCTTACCTAACGTGATACCTACTCTCCTGTCCAGTCCCAGCTCCATAAGCAGTCTTCCAAAGCTTTCAGCTGGGTGGAGACCCGCTTCAGGCATCATAGCACCATGTGCCTGTTCTTGGTAGCACTTGTCAGCTTGCCACAGTCACCATTCGTCAATAGCCTGTGTGATTTGGTTCTCCTAGTGCCTCACACAGTGCCTGGCACAGAGCAATATCAGGTGGAGGGCAGCTTAATGGCAGCATGGTGTGCCCAGCACCCAGCATTGCTCCCTCACCCATGTCCTCAGTCAGCCCTGGCACCCACAGTAACCTTTCACAGTCTCCAAGGATACCCACGGGCAGAAGTTGGAGACCAACTCCGGTCGAGGCCTAGGATGGTACTCAATATTTAGTCTAACAAAGAAAAAAAAGCATTTGTGCCACCAGAGAGCTTCCTCTCTGGGAAAAAGGAGCAAGAGAAAATTCACTAAGCTCAAGGAATGTTAAATACATATGTAATGGTATGGGTTCAGCCAGGCCTCAGGTGCTAAAGAGACCAGAACAGGCTATAACTGCAACAAGGCCAAGTTCATCCCATGGGAGCTTCCTGGAAGAGGCAAACCTTGGTCTTATCCTCATCCCTCTAAGGTACAGACTGCTGTCTGTCCTTCCTTCCAAGGACCTAAGATGAGACCAGTAGGCTAGGTGCCAGTTGGGTACTGGAGACTGACTGCTCCCTCACATTGCATTTCAGGACCCATCCTCCCACCGGGGCATCCCTCATCTACAGCCAGCGCCCCTCTCTCATGTAGTGGGCCTCCGCCCCCTCCCCCACCCCCGGTCCCACCTCCACCCGCAGGAGCCACCCCCCCTCCCCCGCCCCCTCTGCCAGCCGGAGGAGCCCAGGGAGCCAGCCATGACGAGAGCTCTGCATCAGGACTGGCTGCCGCCCTGGCTGGGGCCAAGCTGAGGAGAGTACAGCGGGTAAGAGTCCTGGGTGCCTCGGGTGGGCTAGTGCCTCACTCATCTGCAGAGCCTCTGCACCCTGCCCTCAGCTGCCATCTGGGAATGCCAGGCACAGGGCTGCCCCCAGACTAGCCGGTCCTCTGTCAGTTGTTATTAAAGAAGAAAACGGTGGGGCAGCTTTGTAAATTACCAGGCACTTTAGTTGCATAAACTTGCTATTGGTTCTCACATTAGCCTTCATAAGTGGGGCACACATACCTTCTTCTTTATAGATGAGGAAACTGAGGCACAGGGAGTTTAAACAGCTTATTCAAGTCATGCAGTTCATAAATTGCAATTTGGACTCAAACCCCAGATCTTCTGAGTCTTAAGTCCTTTACTTTTCCCACTAGTCCAAGCTGTCTCATGGAAGTCACTTCCACGTACTCACCTTTTCTTCCCCATCCCTTGCACATGTGCCCTGGTATGAGGCTGAGCGTGGCTGTGTTCATAAGAGTGCTTCTGATACAGATCACTGGCTTGAAGTTTGGATCCCTCCCACAGAATTGTGCCTCCTTCCTCTTTATGTCCCAGCTGACCTTGGCAAGGTCCTATGAGTATCTGTTATTTTTATGCCCCGAGCCATCCCTGTGCCTCTCCCAGGTTTTCTGATCTGTGGGGCTGGGAATGTTGAACTAGATGCCCCACTCCTTAGGTCTTGTAGCACTGTCATCATGGGATTCATACATGCGTCATTCATACATGCGTCTCCTGGGAGAGGGGCTGCTGCTCCTGCCACTGTTCCAGTCTGAGATATGCATCCTTTACCCTCAGCCAGAAGATGCATCTGGAGGCTCCAGTCCCAGCGGGACCTCAAAGTCTGATGCCAACCGCGCAAGCAGTGGGGGTGGTGGAGGAGGCCTCATGGAGGAGATGAACAAACTGCTGGCCAAAAGGTGGGTCTTGTGACTCCCCGGACTCAGAGTGACTGTCAAGAAGTAGTTGTCCCTCAGCATCACACAAAAAATCCTTTCTGGGCCCCAGAATCCTTTGTCACTGGGTTTAGCCAAACAGGTGAGACTGTTCCTTAAGTTTTCCCCTCTCAAGGAGTCAGTCTGAGATCTGAAGCCAGGAAGAGTTCTCTAAATTCTAAAGCTCTCTTCATTTTAGTTTGACAAGTATTTATTAAAGCCTTTGCCACATACCAACCCTTTCCTAAGCAGGGCTGCATCTGGCAGTTATTTCAGGGATACGTTCAGAGGACCCCGGAGGGAAAGAGGGACTGCCCTGCACATGGAATCTAGCAAAAATAAGAATGAGTCCCAGAGCTCTCTGGTGAATGTGGGAGGAAGGTGCCCACCCCTCAGGGCTCATTGTGGAGGATGCAGAGAAGGAATTGTAGAGTGTCAAGAGCCAAGAGGATGCCACTCCTGAGACATGGGAAGAGAATAATTGCTTCTGTCACGGTTGGCTCTGAGCCTGGTACCCAGTCACCCACTTCTGCAGCCACACCCAAGGCCATCAGCTTTGTTACTATGGCTCTTTTGTTCCCCAGCTGAAACCTGAGCAGGTGGAGAGATCATGCAGCTCTTTTTCAGAAGGGATGCAAAGCTTGGGTTTTATTTTAAGTGTGGCCTAACACCAAGAATGTGCTTACTAAGACAGTGGCACCAGAGGGGACAGAAGGAGGTCTTATATCAGATCATTCCCTGTCGTCTGAAAAAAGCCAGGTGCAGATAAGCAACGGCTGGGGCTCTGTTCCCTCAGTGCCCCATTTGCCTTCTCCCTCTCCTGGTCCTCCTGGATGCCTTCCAGTCAGGCCAACCTGAGGAGAATTCTTTGTGCCTGGGCCTCCACAGTGTTGTCCTAATTCATCTTATTAAATTCAGGAGGCTCTGTGAGGATAAAATGAGGAGACAGAGGCCCACAAGTATAGGCAACTGGTCTGGTGCTTCATGGCAGGGTCAGAGCCTGAGTTCTTCACACATATCAAGGACTGCCTGGAAGGCCACAAGTGTCAGGGAACAACAAGGTGATCCAAAGCACTGGCCTTTCCCAAACCGCCACTGGGCCCGGGCAGACATTAATCAACAAGACAGGAGACAGACTTAAGCAGCTTTCACATAACAGTAAGTCACATCTTGCAGGGGCTACTATGGCTACAAAAAGGCAGGTCCAGCTCCCTGAGGAAGAGACCCTGGAGGGCCTTACAAAGGAGGCTCCATAAGCACTCTGCCTAGAAGAATGTGGACTGAGGCTGGAAGAGAGTTCATACCCTGAAGGAAGAACAGTAGAGGAATGGTTGGTATTCAAGCACCTGGGAAGGCTGAGAAGCCCACTGTGTAAAGATTAGGGAGTTGGTGGGCCAGGGCTAAAGCTAGAAGAGAGCACCTAACTATACATAGCTGTGGCTTTTATCTCAGAATACTCAAATGAATAGGAATAGAATCTCATGAGAGTAGAAAATATTTTTAAAAAAGAAAATATTAGTGCCTCCCTTGAGTCCAGAGCTAAACACCTCCCTTGTGTATGAAGCCACTGTGTTACCAGCTTGTCCTACATGATATAGCCCAAACTGAAACAGTACTGCTGTCTGTGAGAACAGGAAAAGGCTAATGCTGCCAGGGCCAGTAAGACACCAAATTCTGGTGGGAGAGTTAAGACCCTGTGCTTTGCACAACCCAGCAAGGATCAGTCAAGTTGCTCTTTAAAATGCACCTTGATGACAAATACTGGTTGGAGTCAGCCATGAGGGTGACCTGACAGACATTTCTTTTAATGAAGGTCCTTGTAGATTTTGTCTTTGCCGCTTAGGGAGACAGTTATCATTGAAGTATAGAGGGAACATGAACATTTATGAGAGCTGGTGTGTTGCCCTTTCACAACGGTTTATCCCATTAAATCTCCACATGTGTAGAATGGCTTGGTCTGTGTTCTTTGTTTGGTTTTTCAGTGTGGGGGTAGAACCCAGAGCCTCACGCATGCTAAGCTGACCTTGCCACTGAGCCATATCCCTAGCACAGTCTGCTGTGTATTTTTAGGGGATGGCAAATGAGCTTCTGGGGAGAATAAGTTGTAAGGGGCAAAATGATAGGGTAAAGCACTAAGGAAACTGCTGTAGTCCACAATGGTGGCTGGCATTAGGGGCTGAAAGAAAAGATAAAAAGACAGACTGGAAATAAAGTTCAAGGTAGAATTGACTGGGATTGCTGTTACAAGAAGTTGATATAAAGGACAATTCCTGGATTTCTGGGCTGAATGACCAGGTGGGTAGACCCATCCTTCTGAGATGAGGAGGCTACTGTGTGAGCACTGCCACTGACCAGTGTCAGACAAACAGACCTTCACCATACCCCATGCCCACTTTGTTCTTGGTGAACTGCTCGCCTCATGTTATGAAAATCAAATGTTCTGGTGGCTTCACAGAGTTAAAACCCACAAGAGCAAACCTTTGGGAAATATTGAGGGTCTGTTTGTATAGATGAGGGAGGTAGCCAGATATAGGTGACCAGAAAGTGTGAGAAAGATTGTAAAGTATATGAAAAGAGAATGTATACCTGTGGGAATGCACGAGTTGAGTATAGGGCACCTCTGAAGCTCTTCTGGGCATTTTTAGGTTCTTGGTGGTGGTCCAGACTGGAAGGGTATACTGAGTTAACTGTGTTCCAAGACAGAGGGCTTTAGAGTGACAGAAGAAAGTGTCTTCTTCCTATGAGATTCTGGGGTCAGCTTGCCCCAGCTAGCCAGCCTGCAGCAGAAGCCTCCCACATTCCTGACCAGAGAGAGAGACAGATTGCAGGCAGAGAGGTGCCCAACTATCTCATGTGGCAACCCTTCCGTGTCCTGGAAGTATAGCTGTCTCTTGACCAAACCCTGGCCCTTGCAAGACTTGAGAAGGGTACACCCAGCTCCTCCACCCTTGGATGCTATGGCTATTGCCAACTGAGCTGAACAGAGATAGGGACATCCCAAACCTCTCCTTCTACCTAGTCCAGTTTTGAGTCTAGGTCTTGGGTGAGCACAGAAGGCCTGAGAACTCACCTAGGTGTGGCTCCTGAGCAGCTGGGTACCTAGCCAAGTGGTCCCTCCACATAAACAGACAGCCCTCCCATAATACATCTGGGGACTGGGTGGGTCCTGCCTGGAGGCATTCCAGGGTCAGCGTGAAAATCTTAGGAAGCTGATTTGTGTCTTTTTTCTTTCCCCGTGTTTAGGAGAAAAGCAGCATCCCAAACAGACAAGCCTACTGACAGAAAGGAAGATGAAAGCCAAACGGTAGGCACCAGCCCCACCTGCCTACTCCCTTGGTCTTGCCTCCAATATAAGCAAATCTACCAGGAAGGCCTTTGGGACACCGCAGTATACATGGTTTGGACATATGCATGGTGTTACTTCACTGGCCGACTTAACAGGGGAGGGGCAGAAAGGCCTCTTGGGCACAGGTTCAGACAGACCTGATACCCTAAGCATTCTCTTGACCAGACCATACTCCACCATCAGAGCTGCAGCCCCACTGAGGAGATAGATGCAAGCAGAAAGGTCTTAGCCCCCCAGGAGTGCTGTGAGAGTATTGGGTGGAGGGTCCTGACAAATGCCAGGCCTGTGCTCAGTGTGGAGACAAGTAGTGAGCAAACATGGCCCTTCACAGGCTCATGTTTTGACAAAGGTGGACTGCTTAGCATGTAGCCAGCCATAATAAATGTTATTACTGTTGAATTGTTCACATTCATTTTTTGAGTACCAGTACAGATTCCTTGAAAGAATGTGGCAGACAGACATGGCAGATACATGCCATGTTTTGTGAACCCCATAGCACTATATTGCATGCCAGGGATCCAGAGATCCCTGAAATACAGCCTCTGCCCTTGAAGAATTCACAGTCTATTAGGAGAGGCAGAAGGAAAATGACCAACAGGGTTGTGGGAGTCCAGAATGAGGTCCTTGAATGCATTCCAGAAACCCCAGGAGACTCCATGTCCATGATGAGCCGGAGTTTGCAGGTGAGGCAGGAGTGGTGTGTACTGGCAAGGAGAGTGACAGCAGCATGGACAAAGGCACAGGATGGGTGGGGGTGGGAGCACCAGCCTAGGCCTAGGACTGGGGAAAGCTGGTGGAGGTGAGGCTTAACACAGGCACCCTGGCCTATGCCTGCCTCACGCAAGCTTCCCAGCATTGAGTGGGTTCAGCAGAGGGGTCACAAGGTCAGGTCTCATCTTTAGATACCTCATTTGGGAAGCAACACTGATGAACTTGTGTGCTGGCTGGGAATAGACAGTCTCACAGAACCACACCACAGTAAGAAATCTGGGAGATGAGACAGCACAAGTAGGGCCTGGACTGGGCAAGGTTCTGGGGGTCGGAAGGAAGCTCCACTGCTCCGCCTGCAGCCTCTCCCTTCTGCACTGTCCTCAGATCTCTGTGAACTCACCACTGGAATTTGGGGGTTTCATTCTTTAATGATATGTATTTTCTTGCTAATTATAAAAGTAAAATGTATTTGTTGAGAACATTTGGGAAACAGGTTTGATAAGTGACCTTGAGGCAAAGGAATCCTGCCCTGGCCCAAGCAACCTTCCTGAGAGACTAATGGAAGAATTTTTTTCCCCCCATTTTAGGAAGATCCTAGCATCTCCCCATCCCCAGGGACCCGAACCACCAGCCAGCCACCTAACTCCTCAGGTAAGAGGGCACCTCAAGGTCTTAGAGCAGGACAGAAGGACTCAGGAGAAGTTCATGTGATCCAAGCACCTCACTTTACACATGTGCAGAGAGGGCCAGGCCTGCAAAAATCCCACTCCTGAGAGTACCCACACCTCCCCTAGGAACCCAAATGGGTTCAGCTGAGAAGAAGCACAGAAAATGCTTGAGCAAGCTAGACATGATGGTACCAGCTATTAGGCCAGCTCTCTTCCCCCAGGACCCTGCTCCCAACCAAGGGAAGCCCTTGCCTAATAGCACTGAGCCATGCTGAAGGCTACATCTATGGCTCAGGCGTGGGTGGGACTAGGGCTCTTAGAAGGAACATCTTTTTGTTTTGTTTTTTTTTTCCTGAGGTGCTGGGATTAAACCCAGAGCCTCACATATGTAGGCAAGTAAGCTACCACTTGGTCATACCCCTGCCCCAAAAGGAAAAATTTAATGTCAGAATTTGTAATGCCAGAACTTAATGACTGGCATTATAAAGATCACAATCAGTCTTGTTCTACTAGAAACATAGCCCTTGACCTTGCCCCAGTCCCACCAGTAAGCTGTGGTAGAGGGGATGTGATTAGGACAAGGCTATGAGGCTTAGCAGTAGGAAGAAGGGTGTTCAGTCATTCAACAAGCGCCTGTTTAGTGTCTCATTCTCATGCCAGACACTGATGAGGAAAAGGCAGAGGGGGCCAGGTCACCCCACCTGGGCAGACAGAGCTCGTGCCAGCTATTTGCATATCTCATAAGGTCATGGCCATATACCAGTATACATGTTGGCGTGTCCACCTCCCTTATGAGATGCATGCTTGTGTCCGCTCCTAAGACTCTGCCTGGGGTGTGATTTACAAAGATCCACAGATTCTTGACCAATGTCACTTCCCTTGTTTGCTTCGTGTAGCAGCCATTGAGTAGGTTAAGTGATTTCCCAGGCTAGGAGTTTGAGGCTTCCCATAATGAAGTTTTTGCTTGAGGCCACACATCTGGAGTTTGGCTGCAGGCCCAGTGCACATCCCACCAGGTGGCTTTGGGAAACCTGCCTCAGACTTGAGGTTGGTCTGCAGGCCTCCTCACTACCCCTAGGAATTTTGTCTTCTGCCTCTGTTCCTGCAAAGTCAGTGAATTCATTCAGTTCAACACATCTCTTGTAGAATAAATTGTAATCTAATTCAGATTGAGCATCCCTAATCCCAAAATCCAAAATGCTTCAAAATCTGAAAATTTTTTGCAAGTTTCAGATAAAGTGTATGCAAATACTTCAAAATTCGAAAAACCCTGAAATCTGAAACACTCCTAGTTTCAAACATTTCAGATAAGGGATACCTAGCCTGGACTACTTAACATAGAAAAGAGGAAACAGCTTCGAAGCCCAGGATAGCATGTGGGGAAGACTGATAGTCAATCAACAGCAACTGCAAATGAGATCCCAGAGGGCCTGGCTACCCCAGAAAAAGTGGGAACACAGACTGCAGTATGTGTCAGAGAGGTCTCCTGCCTGCCCACCCAGCACTGGAGTCACTGGTTCCCTACACCTGGACTGTGCTCTGTGGAGAGAGATCCAGCTGTAGTCAGAAGGCATAAAGTCTAGTCACAAATCAAGGGAATAGGAGCCTGAGTCCTGCAGTGGGGAAGATAGGGTGACTTCAGGACCATCACCCCTTAAGGGGTGCCCTGGGCCAAGGGCACTGACAATCAGGAGCCAGGTTGCAGCTCCACTCTAAGCAGACCTCCTCCTGGGGCTCTGCACCCTCACCCCAGGTGGGGTTCCTGTGGGGGTGTTTGGGGGCTGGGTTAGCCACCAGGTGCTCTGAGCTCTGCAACTCTTCATGAAATGAAATGAATTAACAGAGGCCAGTCGGAAGCCCTGGGAGCGGAGCAGCTCAGTGGAGAAGCCTGTGTCCTCGCTGCTATCCAGGTGAGCTGCACTGGGAAGGCCTGAGTGGTGACCTGGCGGGCTGAGGCTGGCTTTAGTGCACAGGTTCATGTGTCTGTTTCATTCCATTGCCGTAGAACCCCGTCTGTGGCAAAGAGCCCTGAAGCTAAGAGTCCCCTTCAGTCGCAGCCTCACTCTAGGTACCGAACAACCCTCCTGCTCACATGTCTCCCAGATCTAGGGTCTCTTCTGTCCTCTACCCTTCACTAACCCACCCCTCCAACCCTGTCTCATGTCCTGCCATTAACAGCTTGCTGTGGGAAGGGCGGTGTGCTCTCATCTGGGAAAGATGGTACTGGAGGGCCTTCATGGTCATTTAGGCCACTCCTTCTTCTCCTCCCTGAGAAGGAGAGGCAAGGTCCAGGAGGGGAGTGGCTGCCAGGCAGGGAGTGGAGCTGAGAGCAAAGGTGAGGTCGGTCAGCGCCTACCACACAGGGCAGTTGTGGGGACAGTTGCACCCCTCAGCCCAGCTAGTCCTGGGCCTGTTCAGCATCTCGCCTCTGCTGTCTGATCTCAGACCGCTTTGTCTGCTTGCAGCACATCCAGCCAGTCTCCCCATAGATACACTGACCATGTTTCTCAAACCAAAAGCATGTGGGACAATACAGTAGAACATTTAGAACTAAGCTTGCCCAAAAAGTCAGAGACAAACAGCCCCATAGTAACCAAAGGCCAAGGGTGACTGAATTATATTCAAGGTCTCCAAAATCCACCAAGAAATGTCTCCACTGCCCACCACAAATTGAAGGAAGCAGCTCTTGTCACAGTAGGTGGCATTGGAAACCAGTCTTTCAGAGTGAAGCCAGGTGTTTGTTTAACAGAATACTCGAGCCTGGCCTTGGAAGGCAAGACCATGATCAACGCTGGTGGTCAGCCAGGCTGTGTACTGGAGACTGCCCCTGTCCACAAGGAGCTCTGTTGTAAACCACATAGCTATGGTTCCTGAGGGGCTCTGGAAAAGACACAGACAGCTGCCATGTGGTGGGGGTAGAGAAAGGAGTTGGACAGACATGTAGATGAGGGGCAGGGGCTTGGGGTACAGCCTCTAAGCTGAGGAGATAGGATGTGCCAAGGCCCTGAACTGTAACCACCCAGCAAGTTCGAAGAACAAGCCAGTGTAATTGAAGAGGGGTGGGAAACAGGAAGGGTGGTTTTGAGGATTGGCTGGAGGTTGGCATTCGTATTCTGGATACAGGGTCCCCACGGAGAGCCTGAGCACAGGCCCAGCCAGGATGAGTGCTTGGAGAGGCTTCCCCTGGTTCTAAAGGGGAAGGCGACAGAGCAGGACAGAGCCAAGAGAGGCAGGGCCCAGCCTGAAGCAGAGCTGGCCTTGCCTACTAGTAGATTTAGATAGGCTGCCATGTTCTTGGCCCTCACTGGGCAGGAGTGTTGTCATGGTCATTCCCACTTGGAAGGAGGTCTCGTTCCAGCCCCGAGAAAGATTCAGGTGCGTAATGACAATCCCTGTCCTGCATACTGTGGCTTCTAAAGGCCATGCCTGCTTGTCATGGTGCAACCATCAGGTGCAGTGAGAGAGCTGAGGCCTGGACAGGTGGGACAGATGCCCTGCTAGCAGTTACTGCTGAAGCAGGTCCTGCAGCCCACAGCAAAGACCTGCAGGACTTCTGGCTGGGCGCATTTGCTCACCAGGACCCAGAACTCTGGACAGACCTGTTCAAGACCACACTTGGCATCTTTCTCGAGTTTTCTAGGAGGGTGCAGAGCACTTAATTTTTCATCTGTACTCTCCTAGCTGCCAAGAGCATTGGGCATTACTTTTACCAGCTGGAGCTAATCTGGGCTGTGATCCCTCAGCAGCCAAATTGGCTCTGCCAGGTGGATATTTGTATGCTACTGTTATACCGATTCTTCACCTGACTCGGGCCACATTCATTTTGCTGGAATCACAAGCTTCAACAGCCTTTATTTCCACATGATCCAAACCATGTGTCTGCCTTCAGCACCTCCATTGTTTTCTGAAAGACCCAATTAGATGAGTATTGTGCCAAGGTTTTCCAGGGAAGATGCCTGTTCAAGAGGCATGAAATTCAAGTCACTTGATCTTAGTTCAAAGTACAGCCCATGAAAACCGCCTCAAAAGAGCAAACCCACATACCAAGACAGGTCGAGGGGGTGAAGCACTAGCTACTTGCTTGGTTTGGGAGGGGAATGGCATCTCCAAGGCAGGGCTATATGCAGTAGCAAGATGTGCCTAGTGCCCCAAGTTGCTGGTTTTTGTCAAGCCTCAGTTTGGCCAGGAATGCAAGCGTCACGCCAAGGAGTAGATTATTACTACCAGCTCTCTCCAGGGAGGCAGTGAGAGCTCAGAATGCTGTCTGGAGCTGCTCTCTGCCTAAGGGCTCTCAAATCAGAAAACAGCTCCTGTTGGCCCCCATTGTCCTGACTCTTGGGCTGGGAAATGTGGTCGTGGTATCCATGGGGACTTCTGAGAACAGGGCACTCACTTCCCTGTCAAGTGACCTAAGAGTGGTCCTAAATCAAAATCATTAGAAAGACCAGAGGGGACAGGCAGTCCTCTGCCCCTGAGAAGGAGGTCTCTGGCACCCCAGGACTTCCCCAGATTGGGGTGCCTACAGGCCCTGCTACCCACCTTTCCACACCTGCCATTCCTCTCCCAGGGTGAAGCCTGCTGGGAGTGTGAACGATGTGGTCCTGGATGCCTTAGATTTGGACCGGATGAAACAGGTGAGTGTGTCCTTCCCTCAGGCCAGGAGCACCCAGCAGGCCAGCTCTGGTCAGTGGAGCCAGACAGTCCCAATGGGACCCACACTTGGATTGTACAAAGTCAGGCAGGGAGCCTACCAATGGAGGAAAGGGGATGCTTGAGCATATCATTTGTCCCCAACCCCACCATCACCAGAACAAAAGTGTACCTTCACATTTCTGCGCATCCCTGCAGCCTGCCTCTGGACCATGCCCATGGGTAGCCTCAGTCTTAGTAGAGTTGACCTTTGGGTCAAGGAGGTGCTGAGGGCTGCAGGGCTGGGTGAGGGTGAGGCCCCACTGCACACATGCCTCCTGAAACCAGTCCCTCCCCCATGGTTGTTCCTTCACCCTGAGGCTCTGCCCAGCAGGAGATCCTGGAGGAGGTGGTCCGTGAGCTCCACAAGGTGAAAGAGGAGATCATCGATGGTGAGTGGGGCCACACTGGGTAGGGACACTGCCCCGGGTTGTGCCAAATGGTAGAGGAGCCTGAGAAAACACAGGGCTGCCACCTGTAGCAAGGCAGGGGAGGCAGCACCAGGGTGGGACCTTGGCCATACAGCCTGGGGTTTGAGCCAAGGCCCATTGCTGTACCCAAGAGGGCTCAATCACTTCCCAGCAGAGCCCACACCACCCTCCCCAATCTCTGGCTGTGGAAACTGAGGCTCAGAAAAGCCAAGTGATTTTCCTAAGAATGCAACACCTCCCCGGTAGTGTGCCCTGAGCCTGAGTTTCCCCACACAACAGCTTCCTCAAGAAGGGACCACTGGGTATGGTCCCAAGTTTCTGCTCCTTACTTCATGATCTGTTCATTTCTGATCTGCCACCTCCTATCACTGGTGTTGGGTCTGTGATGGGGCTGCTGCCTTCTTGGGAGTACCTGAGCTCCTTTACAGCCTGTGTGTTCCTGAGCTGGGAAGCAGACATGGTACTCCCCCCAAAAGAGCCTCTAGCTCCAGAGAGTAGGGCTGTGTCCCATGTATCACATCCGTCCTTCCGGTCCCACCAGGGCCTTTGAGGGAGCTGGCTCAGATCTGCAGCCAGAGGAAAGGGAGGTTTGGGCAGGGCTAGCTCAGCAGGGGATACAGCAGCAAAGTGCAGCCCATGCCCATCCCCCACCAGGGAATGTAATCTCACACACTGCATCTGGCTCATCAGCAACAACCATGACGTAAAGGGGTGCAGGCTGACAGCAGACTTCCAGAGAGGAGAGGGTCTCCATGGGATCCTGCTGGGAGCTGGACACACACACACACACACCAGCGAGGCCACAACACTAAGTTCCTGTACACCCACACACAAGCGAGGCCACAACACTAAGTTCCTGTGTACACACACACCACACACACAAGCGAGGCCACAACACTAAGTTCCTGTGTGTACACACACACACAAGCGAGGCCACAACACTAAGTTCCTGTGTGTACACACACACACACACACACAAGCGAGGCCACAACACTATGTTCCTGTCTGTCCAGTTGACCTAAATGCCTGGGCTGGGAGATACAGAGTTAGTGAATGAAAAGAGTGAGACAGTTGGAGCCACAAAGGCAGGCATTGAAACTAGCTATGAATTTAGGGTTATTTCTGTGTCCCTCCCCTCCCCACCCCAGCTGGTCCTCAAGGCCAGAAGCTGGGCCACCAACCAGTCTGTCTGAGGAAGCTATCTGGGAGAGGCAGGGCTATGGTGGAGCCACAGGTCCCCTGGCCCTAGTCACCACTTGCAGCTGTGGTGCAGGTACCTAGGAACCCACCTCACCGCCAGCTGGGAGCCCATAGGAGAGCATCTAAGCCCCCAAAAAAACCCTTTCTTGATAGTGTCCTATCCTTCAACCTTCCCCTGGCTGGGGACTCCAGCCCCAAGACGTCTGTTGGGGGACTGGAACTAGAGGGGTAGCCCCAGAGGCTTGGGGAGAGTGGGAGGCACTAAGCGGGAGGAGGAAACACCAAGATCTGGGGGAAAGACTAAGAGTAGAGTAGGCAGGAAAAGAAAGAAGAGTCTAAGGAGGGGTCAGGAGAGAAGGCCTTGCCTTTCCCCTGGAGAATAGAGTCAGGTCAGGAATCAGCAGGGACTCCTGCTACTGACACATAGTAAAGCCTGGCCTCCACTCTGGCAGGGGAGAGGCTCACAGGTTCTCCAGACAGACCTGGACACCTACCTGATTAGAACCTACAAAGCACAGGGGAGCCTGGTACACCCCTCCCCCCCACACACACACACATCCACAGCAGCTCTGAGACCACAGACAAACCCCCAGCCTCTCCAGATCCCACCAGCTACTCAGACAGGGAGGTGGTAGCAGGGATTGCGGGAGAAGTGGCTCACAGGGTTCTGCCAAAGCTGTCACATGAGTAGGCCTCTATAGCCTGTACTCCCGTGTGCAGTCTCTCTCAACCTGGGGCAAGGGTTCTTCCTAGAGCCCAAGCTGGGAAAAAGACACCAGGCATGGAGGGTCTGGTTCTTCACTGTGCCTGAGCATCCCTCTCCTGTCCTGCTCTCAGCCATCAGACAGGAGCTGAGTGGGATCAGTACCACATAAGGCGGCCACCAGTCACGGAGAACAGCGAGGAGCCCTGCAGCCCCAGGCCTCCAGCACAGCAGAGAGTACGCACTGAAGCTGGGACGTGCTTCATTTAAAAGTCCCAACCTGTGATAAAATATTAAATGAGGAAACAAAGTTCAACTCCTGGATTTTTTTTAGATTCTACCTGACACAGAACACCAGGTCTATTCTTTTTTTGTATTTTATATTTGCTTATTTAAGTGTACATTTCTTTTGGTTTATAGAGAAGACACCCCCGAATCACCTGCTTCATTAGAGGGTTTCAAGTTTTCTCCTAGGTGACGCTGTTAGCACCTTAGCTGGCAGTGAGCAGCCAGGCATGGCGTGCCTTTCCACGCCAAATGCACCTGTCCGAATGCAGCTCTGCCCCAGCAGTCATGGTGTTAACAGTCTGTCCACGCAGTGCGTGTTCTGTCCATACAGTAATAAACCGCTTACTGTCCACACATGGGCTCTGCCTCTATCTCACTTGCGCAGGCTCCTGGTTGCCATGGTGGGGACGCTGCACACCAGAGTAGGAAGGACTAGGAGCAAGATGAGTCTCTTCCCAAGACCCAGGAGGGTGAGCTGGGCAGCTCCATTGTCTTGTGACTGGACCTCAGGTCCTGCCCATAGGGAGCCCTAGGTCAGTGGACCCCAAGTATAGCATACTCCCTGGACCATCACAGACCCCATGAGCATTCTGACTGGCGGGGCTGCAGAGTGGACGTGTGCTTGTGGAAGAATTTGGTGCTAGAACTCTGGAAGATGGCAGGGAAATGAAGGCAGCCTTGCCCTCCACTCTATCCACACAGACTCCTGTATCCTCCATAGAGGACCCTAGACTGTGAAGGGCAGCCCCCAGGCCACCTAGGGGACAGACTCAACACTTGTTTCTCATCCTGGCCACGGGGAGGGCCTGACCCTTGGCTCCAGGACGGCTGTCCTTGTGACTAAGAGCTCCAGCCAATGGTGGCCTTAATACCCCTGTGAGCATTCTCAGGCTGTCCTGTGACCTCTCAGTGCCCACCGTGCATCAGCCACCTCAAGCCAGGGAGGAAGAGGTGAGGTACCAGGCTCTGGGCCTGGTCCGGCTGATTACAAGGGGTAACCACCATTCTCTGGCCCAGCCCTTGGCATACTTTATCTTGTTGGGTGTTCCCATTAACCCAAACAACAGGAATGGGATTGTTCTGCAACAGACTGCACACCCCTGAGGGCCACTTTGCTGTGACCCTCACCCTCCCCAGGTCCAAGAAGTCTGGGGCTCCTAGCCCTGCCCCACCCTCTTCCATGGCACCCTTCTCAGCACAATCCAATGAGAGTGATCCTCAGAGGAACTCTTGATCCCGGGGCTGGCCCATGGCACTGTCTTCAGGGAAGGGCACTGATGGACTCAAGGAGCTTGAGCCACAGCCCCAAGGGCAGGGGAGGCAGCTGCACTCTCGGGGGCCAGCCCATGTGCCACCTGCCCCAGCTTAAAGTCCTCCTGTCTCAGAAAGGAGCCCAAGGCTCCTCCCCACATCATCTGAGCTATGACACCATTCAGGGACACCAGTGCCTGGCACCACATGAGGCTACTCCCAGGCATGACGCAAGGGCTATAGCACCTCCTCCTTTAGGCCTTTCCTCTCCAGGGTCAGTAGACAGCCCTCCTGGCCCACTGCCACCTTTGGCCAGCCCTGTACCTCAACCCCAGTCCCAGGGGTGTGGTGGGAGCTACAAGGCTGATCCACTCCCACTCCTTCCTGACCTCACCCAACACCCTGCTGCTGCCTGCCTACTCTGAACACCAGGACCCACCCTGGTATCAACCAAAGGCTATCTCCCTAGGTCTCAGCTTTGCCATCAGTGCCCTTCAGACAGGACAGAGACACATGTCCCTACTTCATGTAGACACCAAGTCCGTTGCCAAGCCTGTCTCCTGAGCTGTAGTTCACCTGTGTAGCACCTATCTATTTAGCCATCCATCTGACCAGGGGACCTGTTGTCTTCAGGGTTAGTGGGGAAATAGAGTCTGAATCTCTATGGGATCAAGGATGCTCCTGCAGGATGGAGGGCCTGCAGTGGAGCAGGAATTACACAGGCCCAGGAGAGCTGGGGGCAGCTGGGAAGGGGTTCTGCAGAGTTCCACCAGCGTGGAAGGAGCCAGGGCTCCCCAGCTGCTACTGAGACTTCTCAGGCAGAGGGGCCTTCTGCTCTCCATGCCCCAGAAGGTCACCATCCACCATGGCAGAGCCATCCAGGAAGAGTGCCCAAGCAGCAGACAGTGCCCAAGCATTGGATGCCATCCTTCCCAAGGGCCTGAGTGAATGGGCACAACAAAGGATTGACTGGGAGGAGCAACACAAGCCTTGGACTCTACCTGCCTGGGTTTGGGGCCTGGTTCTCCGGGGACCCAGGGTTGGGCTAAGACCACCCCTTCAAAGCATAATGCACAGGCCCGTGAAGGTGAGTGTTGAATTTAGCCTGGGACATGAAAACACCGAAACAGCTCCATGGAGATCATGGGCACAGAGCACAGGTCACAGTCAGGTGGAACTAGGCCTCACTCCGTAAGGCCCAGAAAGGTTCAGGTGAGTCTGTGTGTGCAGATACGGCTGCTTCAGGCTGCCGCTTGTGTCCACTGTTAACTGGGCAGAGCTGCTGAGGGCAATTCCCAGGACTCAGCCTGCGGAGCAGCAGCCAGGGTGCAGGAACCAATGCAGCCAAACCAGTTCTAGGGCATGACAAAGGGGTAGGGGCTACAGCAGGGGGCAGGGCAGCAGGATAGGAGGCACCAGGGCTGACCCCTCTGGACTGAGGGCAGGCAGCCTCATAGGCGGTCCTCCGCCAGCTTGCACACCCGCTTCACCCTGGCGTAGGGTCCCATCGAGTCCTCAAACACAAAATCCCAGAGCACCTTCACCCATGAGTGGTGCTGCGGCAGGTGGTCGTAGTACTCAGGCGCAATCTTCCGCACCTGTGGAGAAGGGAGCTGGGATCAAGGGCTGCTCCTCGGCCAGTACTCTGCCGGGACTGCTGCACACCTATCATGAGCACATAAGTACGCAAACATTCACACATACAGTACACGAACATTCACACATGCATGCATGTGCACCGTCATCTCCTAGATAATGGCATCCAGCTGGGCCCACCTGGCCACCACTGCCCCTTAGGTTCCCTGAAGCTGCTGCTGGGGAGTGTGTGGGGGAGGGAGTACAGGCTCCAAGTGCCCTGCCACAACTAGACATGGAAGAGTTAAAAGCTCACTACACCCTAGAACCCACCAACTTGCTCATCCAGGAGACCAAGGGGGATGTGCACCCACTTGCAGAGTTCTGAGGCACAGCCCAGTCTGCACCCCACTGAGCCTCATCTCACAGCCTTGCCCCTCAACCCTCTCCATCACCTTTCTCCAACCTGCTAGCCTCTTGGTCTTGGCTCCCATTGGCCTCATACCCACACACTTCCTCTCTCCTAGCCTTTGTTCCTGCCTGCCTCCTCCAGGAAGTGCTCCTGCCTCAGCACCTGTAACTGGGCCACCACCAGCCACCCTGTACTCCTGTCAGGAATACCCTGTCTAATCTCCAGAACACTTAAAGGGCACAGGAACCCCACTTCACTGTTGAGGACAGCAGTCAGAGGTGGATGGCCTTTCTGCTCCAGCTAACAGCTGGCGCTCCTGATGGCTTCAGACTCTCGCTCTACACTGCACTTAAAGCACATCCACTTTTAGAGCCTCTGCCCTCTCCTCTGTCGAGTGGGGAGGTTTGGTGACATGAAGCCAGCACAGGGGCCTTGGCCCTGTTGACAGGAGAGGATGGTGGCCACACAGCCCAAACCAGCACAAACACATACGTACCTAGACAAGAATTCACACATACACACACACATGTACAAAGGTTCCCACATGCACACCCAGGAGCACACTCGGGGCCCCTGAACCACCTGCCCTCAGCTCCTCCCACCCCCTTGCTGGGTCATCTCAACTGTCTTAACAACCAGGTGCCATCCATATGCCAGGAGAGGCAGCCTGGCTGGGTCATGTCTGAGGGGCTCCTCCACTCCTTTTCTGCCCCTTTTCTCCTCTCTCAGTTACAAACTCCAGCTCTCAAGGCGACCCAAGGCAGAGATACATCTCAGCCATCCCGATAGCTCAAGCTAGACCTCTTAGGTTGCAAAGGCAAGGCTCACTCTGTCCTGACTGATCAGTTCTAGACCAGGAGAGGGCCCCTATCAAGTCATAGGGCTGTGACAAGAAATGAGCAGCGACAGGGGGTCAGGAAACAAGAAAGAGAGAATCTCATGCAATATCACTAATGCAGAAAGGGAAACAGGGACAGAGAGCAGGCAGCCTGCCCAAGGACACATAGCCAGAAACTGTCATTGCAGGGATCGTGCAGTGGCTCATTAAACCAAACACCCTAAAACCAGCGCTCTCAGACTCCACCTCCGTGACTGTCTCCTTATTCTCCAGCCCAGCCAGGCACTTGCGTGGGTCACTCCCATTGGGGCCACAAGTGACAGTGGCCATACCTTGAGCAGGGCAAAAAGGAAAAAGCAGCCTGGGCGCTGCCTAGGGCCCTTCCCATGGCTCCCAGCCTCTTCACACCCTCCATGCAGCTCTCAGCCACCCCGGCCCTGCCCACGCCGGGCACATACCAGGGGCAAGTTGCAGCCTGGGATACTGGGAAAGTCATGGTGCTCCATGTGGTAGCCTACGTTGAAGGTGATCCAGTTGAGGGGCCCATAGTAGGAGTAAGTCTCGTGGCCCTTCATGAACATGTAGTGTTCGGCCACAAAGTGGCCTGAGATGGGATGCAGGCCCAGGCCCAAGAAGGAGCTGGCCAGAAGGTAGGCCACAGGTTTGATTCCCCAGAGAGCATAGATGGTGGCATCGACTGCCAGCTGCACCAGGGCATTGAGCACCTCCATGCGGGTCATGGCTTTGGGGTTCACGCAGAGTGGCCTCAGTGAGTAGAACAAGGGCTGCAGCACCAGCCAGAGCACCTTGCGGGCCGGCGTGCAGAAGAGCCAGCCCTCGAAGCGCGAGGGTATGTCCACATCCAGGCCATCGCCGCCCAGATAGCGGTGGTGGTCCACGTGATACTTCTTGAAGGAGGAGGCGTAGGGCACACCCACAGGCAGATTGGCGAAGATGGCAAACCAGCGGTTGCGCATAGCGCAGCTTGTGCCAAAGGCGGTGTTGTGTGAGATGTCGTGGATGGCCAGTGTCAACGAGTGGTTCACGCAGCCGCCAAAGGCGTAGGCCCAGAACAAGAGCCAGCGCCATGAAAGTTCACGCGCCAGCCAGCAGGCTAGCAGCTGTACCAGCACCATCCCAGTCACTGTCCACTTGAGGTGTGGGTCCGGCCGCATCAGGGCCTTAAGGGCCGGGTACTTGGCTGCAGGAAAGACAAGGGGAGCCAAATGAGGTGGTGCTCACTGCTTGGGTCTCTTCCTGCCTTCCATCTGCCATCTTCCCTCTGTCCCTTCCTCCTTCTAAAACAGGCTAGTAATGGAAAAACAAAACAAAATGCCATGGGACTCAACCCTCCTCAACAAAGAGGGTTGAATCCATGCTGGGCTCTTCCTTGCTTCCCTCCAATGCTGTCCTTGGCCATCTCCTCCTTCTGGTCATTTTACTGGACAATGGCGCATGCCCAGTAAAGAGAACTCTGTCCTCAATCTGACCTCTCAGATAAAGCCCTCTATGCCCCCATGTTCTGTAACAGGACCTTGTCAATCACACGTTACCCTAGTCCCCTCTGCAAAGCCTTCCCAGATTTTTCTCACCGCTTGCACTTACAGCCTAGAAATTGTGCATTAGACAAAGATCAGCACTCCTGGGCCATCTGGCCAGGGCCCACCGCAGCCTCCTGGTATATCCTTCTGCTCACTTTCTTTTCTCTTTCAATAAAACCTTGCAGCTTCTTCGCAATCTGTGTCTCTGTCCAATTCTTTGTTTGTGTGATGCAGGGACCTGAAATCTTCTCAACCAGGGTTTTCTGGGTGGTCTTACCCAGAAACACTTCCACCCATCTTCAGTGACCAGGAAGTCATTCAGCTATTTTCCAGAACCATCCCACACCCTCAAGGGCCTCCAAGAGGGACAAGACTTGACCCACCTCCTGGGGACATCTGGGAGACTTTCCAGATTTTTTTTTTGGTGGGGGGGAGAATTGCCATCAGTGCAAATTAAAAGCCACTGTCACCACAAGACATAGAAACAATGACTTGATGCCAGAAACCAAAGCAGCCATAAAGCTCTGAGCTGCCTGGCCCTGACAGAGCCCTGCTGAACACACGTGCCCATGCTGTGCACAGCTGGAGCCTCAGAAACAGCCCAAGAGGTGACAGGGACTTGTTACCCCTAAACTCATCAAGCACCTGGGGTGGCCAGGGGTGAGGAACACAGACATCTATGCTTTATCTCAAGTGTTTCAGTCCCTAAAACAAACAAGACCAGCAGGAAATTTTAAAAAAAATGTTGAACGCCCTTCTCTTCAGTGGTGGATGTTTGTTTTGGTATCTTTTGTACTTTTTCGCATTTTGTTTTACAAACAATGCAAGGGGCAGTTGGCCAAGCTGGGGAGGGAGGGCCTTCCAAGCTAAGCAGAGCAGAACGGGGCAGCCACTGGTGCCTGGGTGGGGTTGGGTGGAACAGCTGTGCCTTCTAGAAGCTCCTCTGAGGAGGAGCTGGCAGGTTGGCACAAACCGTAGGTCTGCATCCAGGGGCAGGTCATCACAAATGCAGAGTGACAGGAACCCTGCCCCTGACAAAAGGAAACAGACCAGAATGCAGTTTATCCGTATCATGGAACAGAATTCATTCTCTTAAAAAAAAACAGAGTCATGCGGCAGCCGGTGCCTGCAACAGCGCAGATGAACCTCAAAGATGGATGCTTGGTGAAAGGAGCCATTTACCAAAGGATGTGTCTAGTGTGATGCCACTTACCTAGGACTCCAGAGGAGACAGATTCAGGACAGAAAGAAAGTGGCTAAGAGGCCACCAGGGGGCTGGGAATGGGTTTCTGTTCAGAAGTAAAGTTTTACATACAGTAGCAATGGCTACACCACATTGTGACTGTTACTAATGTCGCCAGACTGCACACTTAAAAATAAAGTATTTTTATGTTTTATATGTTTCATCACAATAAAAACAAGTTACTCAGGAGGCAGAGGCAGGAAGATCCTTGATTCCAGGATTATGTGACCATCCTGAGCAGCATAGGGAGACGCCATCTCAAGAACAAGTTTTAAAACTCCCAGCTTCAGGGTATATGACCGAGGTTCCAAGGCCCTGAGGCTGAGCTCACTGTGAGGGTTCAGGAGTGGCCTTTGGTGGCAAGGCTAAGGGCAGGATGCCAAAGGCCACCAGCAGAGGCCCCAGTGGAGTAAAGGCATTTCTGAGACAGGCTGGTTTAGAGATAATGGTGATTGAACATCCGGTGATTAATTGGTGTTCATGTGGCACTGCCCACATTGCTTAATGGCGCCTAAGCACCTGGGTGAGCCAGGCTGGGGGAGTAGCCTCCAGCCAGGCCCCAAGCTGTCCCCTAGGCAGGCTGAGGATGACAGAAACACAGGGTCAAAGATGTCCATTCTCAAGATGGAGAGGATGATTTGGTACCTGCATTGAGCCAAATGGCAAGTCCCACAGATGTCCTCATCCTAGCCAAAAACCCGTGCCTGCCTTAGGTAAGAGGGCAGAGAGATTCAGACTGCGGGTGGCACCGAGGCTACGGCTACCAATCGGGGAGTCTGAGATGAGGAGCCTCCCTAGATCTTTACAGGACTGCTGGAGAGGAGGTGCCAAAGCTGTGGCATGAGACAGGCTGGTCCTGCCATGGCCGGAATGGACCCTAGAGCAAGGGACTGAGGGAAGAGCGCGGCCCCTCCAGAAGCTGGGAAAGACGAGAAAATGAATTCTCCCCTGGAGTCTCCAGAGGGGACACAGCCCTCCTGACACACTGACTTCAGCACAGTGAGAATGAGACACGTGTCAGGCTTTGACCTCCAGAATTGCAGGAAAATAAACAAGCTTCTACAGGAAGTGACACGGTCCATGGCCAGCGAACCTCCATAGCTGCCCCCTACCCAGTGCTTGGACAGAAGCCAGTCAGGCTCAGTCTGCCCTCCAAGTGCCCCACTGCCCACCAGCCCTGGCAGGTGGATGAGCCAGCATGGTATCCCCCCACTTTACTCCCCAAGCTTAGCAAGGGCATGACTCCAGGCAGGAGTGTCCAGAGGACACAGAGGCAGGCCACACACTAGCCTTCCACTCAAGAGAGAAAGATGGCCCTGCTGCCCACCAGGGAGGTGGATAGAGGTGGGATAAAAGTCACCCCAGCTTGTTCCTGCCCCAACAGGAGCCAAGGTCCATAGGGACACCTCAAAGGGAGTAACTCAGTGTTACCTGGACAGACAGGTGCTTCCAGTGGAGGCCTGGGGACCAAGGGTGGGGGATCCAAAGGCCATGACCATATGAGCAGGAGGGAAGAAAGAAATGTGGTTGTGATAGTCAAGGGGAGAAGGACAGCCAGCAGCCACGCCCCTCAGGAAGGTCCCAGACCCAGCACAGGACCAGGGAAATCACACGCAAAGGTCCTGTACCTGTGCACACCTGGATGTCAGGCTGGGCCAGTGAGCTCCACCAGCCTCCCTCTCACCCAGGGGTGGCCCCTGAGCACCAGCCTTGCCCTTCGGACTCCCCAGAGCAGAACAGCAGCCAGCCCCTCCTCTGCCCGCGTTCTCATGGGGACCCACCAGCTCAAGGCCACTGCTGCTACAGGGCAGGCAGATTCTACTTCCCTTTGGAAGGAGGCCAAGCCTTGGGACAAGAGGGTGAGGCTGGCCACACCTGCATCAGGTGAGCCCCAGGCAGGAGAGATCCAGAGCAGCAGGGTCCAGGCCCCAATCATAGATCCAGCTAGCACGTCCACGACACTCCGTCCCCCGAGAGACAAGAGCAGTGACAGAACCCAGCAGCCACAACCTTGGGCAGTAGACCTTGGTATCCCCATCTGATGAAGAGAAATAAAAGTCCTGCCTATGAGGTGGGATGTGGGGAATGAGGACACACTTGGATGTCCCCCCCCTTGCCACCTTCAAGGAGCCCAGTGCCCGTCCTCATTTGCCTAGCAGTCCCCAAGGACTCAGCTTTCCCTAGAGCCCCGGTCAACACTCCTTCACCTCAGACGTCCTCCCAGGGCCCCCAAGAGGAGAGACAGACCATGTGCAAGGACACCCCTCCTGCTCCCTATGGCTACCTCTTCCACACCCACTCCACAGGGGGCCACAGTGCTACTGAAATCTTGGGGGCAGCCACTGGGCCCGCTCATCCAACAGGCACTTCCTTAAGTCCCCTCTTAGTGATATTGACAGTGTCCAGACTGGCAGGAGGCCTTGCTCTGGTAAGGTCCCCACAGGGCCTGCGGTGCCACAGCCCAGCCCTTCACCCAGGATGACGACAGGTTGGCTCATCCTGGCTCCTCCACTGACCATCCTGCCTCCCCATATGGGAAACGATAACATGTACACAGCCCTCGGAACTGTAGGGAGGCCAGGTAAGGGCCTGAGCCCAGAAGCAGATCTTGATAAGCACGAGCTGTCACTGGTGTTACAATATCAAGGTTTCTATCTGAGGCTACCATCTGAGAAGTGGGGCTGCTCTGGACCCACCTGGGGCCCAGCCCAACACCACCTGGGAACAGGGTCAAGCTGACCTGCCAGTCAATGAACAGTGGTCCTGAAGAGACGCAACCCTTCCTCACAGAAACCTCACGGAGAGTATTCACTGCTTTTAATGCAAGGGCTTGGAGATCCCAGGGAGAGCAGCTCCCTGGGGATCATCCCAGGGAGACATTTGAGGACCATGGGTCATGCAGACCGCAGCATGGGAGAAGCCAGGCTGAGGTCACTTTGGGGGCCATTGGCAATTGGTAGGAAGTGAAGGTGTGGCTTGAAGGTGTACAGGTGCTGGGGGTCAGTGAGGATCAGAGACAGGAATATAGGACAGGTACCCACTGAACTGGGCAACGCTGTGGGAGTCTCGGCAGGAGCCATTCTGGCCCAGCCCAAGGCAAGATGGCAGAAGGTTTGAGGCGGTAAGGGTGGATACAGCAGGAGTGGGCACAGAGTAAGGAGAATTGGCTGTTTGGTTGCATGGGACGGGGAAGGAGACTGGAATGACATGACAGAGAAGTCAAGGGGTCCTGGCCTGACAGCAGAGAGCCTCTTCAGGGCTCAAGGGAAGGGGGACACCAGTAGGTAGGTCTGGGGAAGGGAGTTCCTGGGCTTCATGGCCTGGGCTCCATCTCCTCTGGGCCCCAGGAGGAGTGAGAAGTCTGAAGATGAGGAAGGAACACTCTTGCTGCCACAGCCATCAGAAATCACAGGTCAG